TCATTTTACTAATATTGTGTTCTTTAAACACTGCATTTACACTGAGAACCTTTTCATTTGTAAAACTGTAAATAAGAGCTTTTGTACTAGCCTGGTATTTATTTACATTGCTTTGTAATATAAATGTTTTAGAACTGCAATCTTGTACAAAATGTTCTTGCCAGATGTTGTTTCGTTCATCTGTGTTTTCTCATGCAAGATAGATTGGAAAAGCCAATTTTTTTCAGGTTTTATCACTTATTTGTGAGGGAGAAAGCAAATTTTATCTCAAGATGTTTAGAAATTTCCAACTTTAGATTGAATACACAAATTTTTGTCCTGTATTTTTATTTATGAGATATACATTCCCAAGAACAAAAGGCTATGAAAATGGGATGTTCTAGATGAATACTAAAGTGGTTTTCCACCTATTTCCTAGAGCTGCATATTTGATTTCTGTAAAATGTCTTTTGAAGTCTTTTATTTAACTATAGGTATAGTTAACCTGTATCCTCACTTCAAGGCTAGGAGACCTTGCAAGTTACAGTTTTAGTAAATTATTTTCTTTGAATGTAGATGGAAAATTAACCTCAAGGAGTTCTTTCTTGAGTTTCTCTTGCTTACATTTAAGCCAGGAAGTTTAAATAGTTTATTCCTAATACGAGGGCAAACAACTTGGCCTTTTTTGTATGCTTATTTTGGTAGATTAATCTACCTGTTGGTGCCCTGAGAACATGAGTATTGCAAGGCAGAAATGTTAAAAGCCATCCTGTCATCTCCTGTGTCTCTCCCATGTTAACCTTCAGGCTGTAGTTGAAGCAGGTGTGTAGAAGTGTGTTTATTTGCTGTGCTTTCAGCTGAGTGGAACTGGTTGGGGTGCACAGATCTGCTCCCAGCTCTGCCAGCTGGGCCAGGAGTGTGTGAGCAGAGGAGCAGCAATTCCACAGCAGCTGCCTCTGGTCGCCCTGGTAGGACCTGTTGGACAGAGGCAGAGTGCAAAAGGCACAACTCCCTGGCCAAGCCTCATTCAGGGTTACTGAATGCACCAGCCAGTTCAGTCAGCACTATCATAGCTCTCCTGTGTATTTTGCTTCTTTTCCATCTGCAGTTTTTACCTACATATTTCAAAAATATGTAAATACAAATTATAGTTTACTTGGGGTTAAAGTGGGTAGGAGTATATTTTAGTTGTTTAATATTTCTACATGCAGAACACTGTCCCAGAAGACAATTTGTTTGCAGGGCATGTTATCATACCATGGTTTTAAATGTAGTAACTGGTCAAGATAATGAAATCCTCTTGCTGATGTGGTGGTTATGTGATTATGCTCTATGTAAAAATGTATTTGAACCTTACCCAGTTGTGTGAGGAAACTGAATACTAAGATTGCAGAATTCTTGCAGAAAGTAATATTGGCTATGAATAAAAAAAGGCTTTGATCTTTAGGTCCTTTCTCCCAGCATGTTGCCTGTTCCTTAGGTATAGTAATGCTGGAATTGGTGTTCATGCGAAATCTGTTAAGTATGTTTAAAACTTTTGTTATTGCTAAAATGCTTCATTCTGTTTGAATGATCACTTAATGTCTTGTAAAATATTGTGGTATGATAGCATTTTAAGTGGTACCACAATGCTGGTTTTGTCTGTTTGGGGATTTTTTGAGCTGTTTCTTTGCATGACATACCTTGCACTCTGAAGATGGAAGCTGTACTGATTTGATAATACTGACTGTGAGGTGAACCTTTAATCCCTTGTGCAATTAGTTCTGCTTTACTCATCTTGAAGTGTCTTTCTTTACATGTACTGTATGACATTCCATATCCATTTAATACTAAATAAATTTAATTCACTGGTTTTCTGCTAGCATGGGAGTAATTGCAGGTGTAGTGTGTTAACCCATTGGTTTAGGTGTAAGCATGCACAACACTGTAACAAACTACATCACTGGAGGTGAAATTAACTTCATTAAGTAGAAAAGCTTCTCATGTGGATGAAAATCTGTAAATACTATGGAAACTTGTAGTTTGATCTATGGCTAACTAACAGCTTTAGCTACCAGTGAAAATGTTTTAATACAAAATCCAGAAGCTTCAATTTATGCACTGGAAACTCCATTACATGGTCCAGAACTGAAACAGGAAATTCACTTACTTTTCATTTTGTAAACCAAATGTAACCTAAAGAGTCTTAACCTTTCAGGTAGCTGCATAGGCAGCAGTGTGATACATAACTGAGCAACAAAGTCCCTGCTTAGATCACTGGTAGTATTGCTATAAGTAAATCACTTTATTTCTGTAGGACCATTTATATGGTAGGAGGTTTCCAAAACAAGGATTATATAGAAGACTTCAGCAGACATGAGCACTAGAGGGCAGGAAAGCAAATGTTTGGTAAGATCAAGGTAATGCAAATCTTTAAAGTATGTTGGGAGCACAACTTCTTACAAAACTGTTCCTGAAAATTGCACCCATCTAGGTTGCTAAAAATTAACATCAACTTTCCATTCTGCATTAGTTTTTTTCCTAAATGAAGTCATTAGTATAAAAACAAGTGGTGCAACTAAGAAAATTGAAAGTGTTAGGGGTTTTTCTTAAAAAAATTTACTCATAACTTATCCTTTAGTTCTTAGAGATAAAAAAATAATTTAGCCAGACTCTTCTATCATATGTAACTGAAAAAGTTAATATCTGTACAGTGCATGTTCCAGAGGTATGTTGGCATAGTTCTGAATGGAAATGAATGTATATAAAAGAATCTCTTCTACACTCAAACACCATGCTGTACACACACACAGACATTGCTCACTCCTCATTCACCAAGAAGCTGAGAGAGTTTTGAAAGTGACTTCTCCAGCAGGCCATCATTGCCAGTGAGGGTGCTGCAGCCTAGGAGCCATTCCCCCTTCTGCAGGTCTCCTGAACTTAATATAGTAAAACAGTTTTTCTCTTGCTGGAAACAGAGCCCCATGAGTGGTTCAAGAATAGGTATAAAGGCTTGGTTTGTGCTTATCTAAAGCAGCAGTGCAGCAAAGACCTTTCATGCCTTCAGTGCCCTGGCAGTGACACTGACTGAGGTCTGCCCCTCTGTGGTTCATGGAGTTGTGCTTTTCCTGCGCCCACGGAAGTCGCGGTAGGAGGTGGAGGTTATGTCAGCGAGGGAAGTGCTGAAGTTGAGGGGGTAGAGGGAGGTGTGACCCTCTTTCTGCCCCTCCAGCAAGCATAAGCAATGGTACTTCTGAGAATACCCAGGGGTTTCTTGCCTCTCCCTGTGGCTCACTAGATCAGAAAAAGCTGCAGGCAGCAAGAAGAGAATGCAAAAGAAAAAGAAAAAGCATGTAGATGATTGGTTTGAAGCTAAAAAGTTCTGCCCTAAAGAGCAGCAAGGTTGGTAAGGGAGAGAAGATACACAGGAGGGGGGAGAGAATAAAAGAACCAGTAATAACCTGCAAAGAAAGAAATGCAAATTCCACGAGCACTGAAAAGTTATGGTAGGAATAACTAATATAATTGTTAGGAATGGCCAAGGTAATTGTGGTATATCAACTTCCCAACTTATATTTGAGTTAAAACAGCAAACGAGTATTGGTGTGTAGACATTGCAGGGACTTCACAATGGCTCCTCTTGAGAAGAACACACAAGGGAAAGGTACAGCCAATTCAAAACAGTAACATCAGACCTGTGCAAGGAAAGAATTTAGATTTAAAAACTAAAGGCAAATGTCTTATATGATGGCTCTTCCAAACTTTGTGTTTGAAGCATTGCTTAGCAGAGACAAGCTGAAAAAACCCAGCAGACAGCATAAAGTACGTCACATTACCCACCTGGATTGTGTCTAGTGGTAGGATGTACATGGGGAGGTGGGAGTGGGGGTTTTAATCCAGTTAAATTAAAAGTCTCCATCTGTAATCTTGATAAAACTGCTACATCTACAAGTATGTTTCAGCTGAGATCTTAATGGGTGGCAGAGAAGGAGATTGAGGTGGTTCCTTACATGGCACGTGATGCCATTGCAAGCACATGTGCAGTGACGCAGCCAGGGCAACACTTGCAAAGCTTTTAAGTTAGGACCATTAAGAGTTTCCAGAAGGTCATGGTAGTAGTATTTGCAAACCTTAACATTTGAAATAAATGTAAATTGTTTAAGGAGAAAAGAAGATGCAGTAGTGCCTAAGAATGTGTGCTTGAGGCTTTTTACAGTTGGAAAAGCATCTTCATGTCAGCTGATAATACTGTGTACAGATCTAGGTTGGTATGTGTGGGAAAGGATTAAGATTGGGTGGTGAAGCTAATAGAAACAGCCTGAGAAATGGACTTGAAAACAGTCACTGATTTCTGGGCTAGGGATCTATGGCTGTGTGTTGTCTAGCTGCTCTTCAAAAAGGTAACATTGTCCAGCAATGTATTTGGAAGCTTATTTCAGTACAAGAAATTTATTCAGGTGTGTGAGGCATCATAGAATAGTAGATCTGTATAGAAGTAGAACTTACTAGCCTGATAGAGAAGTGAGCAAATAAATTAAGCAAGTGGGACTTATGTTTAAATAGAACTGAAATCACGTGAGTGACTATCAAATCAGTTAATGTATATAATATTTATGACTTGCTATTTATGAGGATATTGTATCTACTAGCTTTAACTATTGAGGTAGTCAAAGTAGAAGCTGACAGCAGTTACAATAAGTATTGTTTTAATTAATGCTAGAGGGAGTTCCAAAGCAGTCCCTGAGTGTCATCTTTAGATAAAGAAATAAACCTGTATATGATGACCAATGCCTGATAGCAGTTCCCTATTAGAAAGTATTTTCCTGAAGCATTGCAAACATGCAATGAACAAACTAGATTTGGTATTAAAGGGCTTTACTTTGAGTAATAAATATTCATTGAGCACCTGTTTTCACAAAATAAAGTCTAATTCAGGATTTAGGGGAAGAACCTACTTAGCAGTAGGTTGCTAAAACCTAAAGATTTATAAATACTCAACAAACTATACAA